CCCGCCCCTCGGGGTCCCCTGGGCTCTCCGCCCCTCCCCCTACGCCCTTTCCCTCTCGCGGCCTCTCCACCCCTTCTCGGTCCCCTCCTTCCGCCCCCCCACCCCCAGGGCTCGGTCCGGCAGCCTTGGGCTCTCCCGGACCTCTCCACTCTGGTGTCTCCTCCCGCCCCCTCTGTCTAGTGTAGCTGACCCTCCGCTCGAGGACCCTCCAGGGCTCAGCTCTCCCTCTGTGTTCAGCTCCTGAGGGGACAGAGGGAGTCTCTGCCTCAGTTTACAGAGGAGGAACAGGGGTGCTTTAGGGTAACTGTGATTCCTCTGGAGTCACAAACCCCCAATTTCCCCTCCACCCCCTTACACCAGGCTTCAGCTAGCCCTGCCCCCCACTGGCTGGGAGGTGAGCAAGTGGGCCCCAAAACTTTCGGCTCTCAAGACCCCCACTGGAGCCATAGGGATGCAGAATCTCAGGCCCCAGAACCTTCCAGCAGCCTGCGAGCCTGCCCTTGTCGCCATTCCCAGGGACCTGTGGGGCACGGGGAGGCCAGCCCGCCTGTCCTCGGTGACACGGTGATGCAAGCCAAGCGGGCCCTGCGGGACGCACCTCCTCGCTGCGGGCCTGCGCTGTGGCCAGCGGCCCCAGACACCTCGCTGCCCAGGCCTGGGCCCCACCAGGCCAGGGCTCCTGTGCCTGTTCCCAGTGGCCTGGAGAGGTGGGCACGCCCCCTCTGCGCCCAGTCCCTCCCCCGTCTTCTTGCCCCAGAGACCTCTGGAAGCCTTCAGGAGCTGGAACTTGCTGCCAGGGCAGGGCCGCTGCCTGCGTGGACAGAGTGGGCACCCACCACTCCGATTGCTGCGGGGGTGGGCTTTCCTGCTGAGGGGGCAGGGGGGCCGGCCCCAGGCGGGTTGAGGGGGGCTGGAAGTCCGGGGCATGGTGTTCAGTTAGACTCCAGCAGCCTGTGGAAAATTCCCAGGCTATTTTGGGCTGAGGGCCCGTACCCTTTCCCAGGACGAAGGTGCTGCCCACACCCCCTCCCTGGGGGCATCAGGGTAGGAGTGGGGGGGCAAGCAAGCATGGCCATTCGCTCACCTCTGTGGCCCCCACTTGAGGCTGGAGCCCCTCTCCGTGGCCTCTGCCCAGCACCCCGGCAAGTTCCAAGTGACCAGGCTCCTCTTACTTCCCATGGTGTGATTCGCAGCGGGAGGAACCTGCTCGGGAGATTGAATTTCCATCTTTCCCGCCTGGCACCACAGTGCCCCTCGCCCTGGAGCTGGGCAGAGGCGGGTTGGCCCGAGGTCAGGGGGCGCACAGAGCCCTGCAGACTGCTGTCCCTCAGGCCCGCGTCCAGCTCGGGACCAGCCAGCGCCTCCATCAGAGCGGCTTTGTCCAAGAAGTCCGACCCGCTTCTCTGGGTCTGAGCATGGTGAGGGAGGCGGCTGCGCTGGGGATGAGGTGGCTGTGTGCATTTGCACCTGCCATCCTTTCGGCTTGAGGGGGGCTCTCGGTGGGACCCCGCTGTAAGAGCAGGGATGAGTGAGCTGCGATGAGTCAAGTGCTGAGGACACCTGCACAGAATGCTGCTCCTGTGGCCCTGGGTCTCCCCTCTCGACGACCCAGACTCCCCAGGGCGGGAGTGCCTGACTGGGTTCCCCCACAAAGTGGAAGGCCTGGAGCTGCTTCTTGGTCAGCTCTTACTGTTGTGCAGGCTGCAAGCTCCCAGGCTGCTGGAGGGCCTGGTAAGCCCCACCTGGGCCGCTGGGGGCGCCCCGCCCCTGTGCTCCCGTTGGTGCAGCCACCGCCCCCGGCCCCCGCCCCCTCCCGTGCACGCACACACCACGCACTTGTGCACAGCCAAGCGCTCGTGCACGTGCACGCGTGCGCGCACAGGGCACAGCTCTCCGCTCGGACTTACTGGGAGGCCGAGGCCCCGCCCCGGCCCCGCCCCAGCTCCGCCCCTCCCCCAGAGCAGGTGCTTGCGGAAGCCGAGTTGCGAGTTGCGGGCCTGGGCTTGGTCCCACCTGTCCCTGTGTATGTGTTGGGGGGCAGCAGTGGAGCCCCGAGCTGGCTCTGGGTGCTGGCTGCCTCTCTCGCCACTGTTTCCTCACAGCTGGACTTTGAGCCTGGCTCCCCACACAGAGGCCATTCAATCCTCCCTGTGTGTGCGTGGGTGGGGGGGTGAGCTGCCGGCCCCCGCTGCTGTCCAGCCCAGGGGAGGGTGCGTGGCTCCTGCGTCTCCGAGCAGCACCCCTCCCCCAGCTTTTACACTCTGCCTCAGTTTCTCCCCTCCCCTTCTGGACGGTCAGCGCTGAACTCTCACCAGGGGCTGGGAATGTGCCTGGCTGAGGAGCCTGTGGGTCACCCAGGACGTGCCAGAGACCCTGCGCTGTGCCAGCCTGGTGCGGGCCCCAGGGATGGAGAGGGACAGAGCTGCCCTGAGAGGGCGCCGTCAAGGCCAAGGGTCTCTGCGGGCGCCTGCGAGGGGTTGCGTGTGTCCGGGGTCAAGGCTGGGGTGCAGAGAGGGTGGGGCTTCATCAGTCCAGGAGTTGGGCTGGGCTGGGGCCCGGGGACACAGTAGTGGGTGGAAAGAGAGGGAAAGAGGCTGGAGAGGAGGGCCGTGTGTCATTCCCCTGCTTCTCACCCCTCCAGCCCCTCACCCCTCCCAGCTCCTCTTTCTCTCTCTCTCTTTTTTTAAGATTTATTTGTGCATACAGAGCTGGGGTACAGGACAGAGGTGCAGGGGGGTGAGAGGATTCACCAGACACAGAGTGGGGACAGAACAGGACAACTGAGGCCGACAGACGAAGTACGCTGCTGAGGGGAGCAGCGGGGGGTCAGGAGGGGTCTGCTGCGCCCTGGGGGTCCCCTCTGGGGCGGGGATTGATCTCGTGCTGCAGTGGTTGCAGACAGCCTCATAGTGCTGCGCTTTACCCGCTGCATCATCAGGGAGGGCCCTAGCCCCCCCCTTCACTCCGCCACTCCCACTGTCACCCCTCCAGCCCCTCACCTCTCACCCCTCCACGCCCTACCTTCACCCCTCTAACCCCTCACTTTCCACCCCTACTGTCACCCTTCTGACCCCCCACCACACCCCTTCCCTCCCACACCTCACCCTTCCACCCCCTGCGTTTCACCCCTCCACCTCCTACTTCTCCCTTTCTGCCCCTGCCGCTCACCCCCCACCTATCTCTCATCTCCGCCCACTTATCTCTGGGCTCTGCAGCCCCAGCGCCCAGGGTCTGGCCAGCGTTACTCACCCGCGTCCTCGTCAGCATCAGGGCCTCTGCTCTGGCGGTTCCCCTCCTCAGCCGAGCTCCCGTGTTTCTCACAAGGCAAGCGCTGTGTCCCCCAAGAGTGGCTCCCCAGCTGGTGGGCCTTTACTGGCCCGCGTACGCCCCGGGCAGGCTGTGATGCGTCGTTCACACGCTCCAGATTCATCCCGCCTGTCCGGCACCGCAGTCAGGACCTGGCGCTGGGCGCGTTTGCTGAGTGACTTTATGACGACGCTGTCGTGGTGGTGGCAGCTGACAGTGGCTGCTCACGTGTTTGGGCGGTCGTGTGCCCAGCCCTCGGCGGGCGGCATCTCAAGCAACCGTGCAGCCAAGACGCATGCAGTCTCCCTTTCAGATGCAGAAACCGAGACCCAGAGAGGCGAGGTTAGTTGCTGCAGATCACAGAGCTGGCGAGAGGTGGGATTTGAAGTCAGAGGGGCCTGAGTCCCGGGGAAAGGCGGATGGAAGCGGGGAGGGCAGTTCTGGCCTGACCGGGGGTGCCGGTCAGTGTCCCCACCTGCTGTTCTGGGAGGCCTGGGCTGGCCTGCTCCCAGAACCCTGTGCTTTGGAACATTCTAGGACTCTGTGACCTGTGCTGGTGGTTGTGCCGGAGTCCTGGCCCCAGCGCAGCCGCCAGGGCCTTTATGAGGTGGGGGCGCCCCGGACTGGCGGTCCTTCCAGCCGTGGCCGTAACTGAGCGGAGGAGGGTCAGGAGCTGGCTATGTCACTGCCTCCAGAAGGCCAGCTGGCCCCCTCCCTGCCCAACCCGTCAGAACTGAGGCCTGACAGGGGAGTATGGAGGCGGGGCGGGCGGGGCCCTGTGGGCCGGGAGAGGGGTGGCTTGGGCATTGCTGGTGGCGCAGCTTAAAAACTTGGCCTCCGGAGGCCACCGAGTTTCTATGAATGGGGAAGTGGGGCTGCAAACTGGGGTGCAGGGGTGTCAGCTGCTAGTCTCTTTTCAAGAGTAGCCAGACACCAGGGTCATGAGGCTGACTCCGGTGCTCAAAAGACTGGTCTGTGTTTTCCAGTCCAGAACCCCACTTTGGGGGTGGGGCTGCTTCTAACCTTCCTCCCGCCCCCGCCCCGTGAGCCTGCGGGGACCGTCTCGGTGAGGTCCCGTTTCTTGTGGGCAAGCGCTGTTTATTCCGCCCCCGTCCCGTCCCCCTCACCCGCCCACAGCAGGTACTGAGGGGCGCCCACCGAGCACCCCGCTTTGCACAGGAGAATGGATTCCAGAGGGTTCCCCCACCCCGCCCCTTCCCTGCTTTGCGCTTTCCTCCTGACCTGCCACCACGCCCAGCTGGAGGGGGCCTCAGTGGTCACTCGCTTGGTCTTTCCTGGGCCAGCTGTGGGGTCCGGCGCCCCCGCCCTGTGCGAGCGTGTGAGGGAGCGGCGAGAGCCTCCTGCCTGCCCTGCTCTGCCTGGCCCGGGCTGGGGTGTGTTGTGTGGCAGACTGCACTCTGGGAATTGGCGCTGGCATGGGGGCCCCGTGCTCCCCGCCAGGGGCTGGGCGCAGGGACGCAGAGGGTCCGATGGCTCCTTGTCAAGGGGGTCTGGCTGGTGGTAGAGGGGAGCCCACAGCTGCCGTGAGGGCCCCAGGAGCCTCGAGACAGTGGGGGCGGCGGGGCGTCTCTGGAGAAGCCTGGGGCCGCCTGACGGGAGAGGACCGGGGGGCAGACCCAGACCCTCAGACGCGGGGGTGCGAGAGCCGCTGAGAGCCCCCCGTCTCTCTCTAGGTCAGCCATGTCATCTGAGCCACCTCCGCCACCACAGCCTTCGGGAGGGCTGCTGGACACCCAGCGGGCCGGAGACCGCTCGCCGTCCCCGCTCCGGGGCAACGTGGTCCCAAGCCCGCTGCCCACTCGCCGGACAAGGACCTTCTCGGCGTGAGTCTCGCGGGGGGTGGGGGAGGCTTCCTGAGACCGCCGGAGTCACTGGGCCTCAGGGTCCCTGGATGCCACATGGGGGGGACTGGGGCCGGGTCGGCAGGTGGGACAGCACCCCAGGCCCACCTGAGTCTGAGGCGCCCGACTGCAGGGTGGGGTTGGCCGTGGGCAGGCAGTTACTGGGGTTCCCTGGGCTTGACCCCCACACGAGACCTTGACCTTGGGGTCTTTTACAACAGAGGGGGCAGCAGCAGGTGGCCACAGGGAGCCAGCCTGCGTGGAGCTGCGCTCCTTGGGGATGTTCCCAGAACTTTCAGTCCAGCACCCTGTTTGCAAGGTGGGGGGAGTGGCTGACTGGAGAAGATGTGCCAGGGTCATGCAGTCACTTTTATTTATTTTTTAATTATATATGTACATATATATGTATATATTT